AATAGATCTTATTGAACTTACTTTTTGTATTATTTCGTTCACACACCGCATCTTGCACTTGATTTACCCTAACACAAAAGAAACTAAAAAAAAGATATTACAAACAAGACTTTCTTAACACAAAATAGGTATGTACGTATTCAAAATTATAGTGTAATATTGAAAAGACAATTAGCAAGTAAGTTAAGAACGTAACTTAATAATTACAATAAAATTAAGGGAAAGATAACGAACAGTGTATTTTATTGATCTTTAAGGAATGCTTATTCAGATGTAAAAAGAAATTCGTTTTAAAAAGAAAAGAAAAAAGAAATTCTTTTTTTAAAAAGGAAAAAAGAATTTCGTAATAACTAGCATGCGGATTTTTATGAAAACTCATATTTCGACACGATATTTTACAAAAAATCAGAATGAGATAAAAACTTCCTTCGTCAATTAAAAAATTACTTATTGTGAGAAGAAAATAAAAATGATATTAGATCTTGTTAATTTATAAATGTTCTTGCATTCCAAAAATCTGCACATGCCGTAACTGCATAAGTATGCGCAGTCTAGTAATAACCATAATTCGGGAAACATCTCGAGAATTTACCAATCATTTTTCCCGAAAAAATTCAATCTGGTACTACTGCTATGCTTGATACGATAAGGATTCGTATTTTGGAGCAAATGCATACGCATGAATGTCGCTACAAAACAAAAAAGCACTCGTCCCGATCAGTTCTCCCATCTTCAGGATATCTACAATGTCTCTTTCAATACATTCCCCTTTCACAGCACCTTTTCTCTGTGTAAAGTAGTTCACCGTTCACATTAGTTTACTGGTTTTGCGAATGGTCCATTATCAATCGCACAGCCCCCGCAACATCTCGAATTCTAGTTTCATCACCTGGTATAGATCTGTTCCATGGCATGTGAGTTACGGTAGCGAACGTTGTCGACGGCCATAAAGATCCTATCTGAAATTTCGTATCGGTCGTGCTTTGCCAGTAGAGGCGCGTGACATGTAGCTGTTCTCGTGTACATATTCGATTGCACCGGTCAAATAAATGGAATTACGATCAGAACCAAATCAGTAAACTATCATGCATACTGATTTATATTAAACGGTGCCGTTATAAACAGTGCAATAATACATAAATCACTACTTTATTTTGTCCCCGTTTGATAAAACACTTTGATCCGCTTGTGATACAATCGACTAATATTACTATTAAAGTTCAATGGAAAATAATATACTGTGTTAAACGGTGATTCGTCGTACTATTCGTGAAATACTCGATCTAAGCGAAAAAAAAATCATTTGTAAAGTTTCGTTTATGTTCTCCAACGTGTGCTACTGTTTTCTAGTGTATTTTTACCTTTTCAAGGTACAGCATTACTGGTTATCGAGCTGTTATGGATACGTTATTACCGATTTGAAAATTAATGAAGTAGTCGTTTTATACTAATTCTGGTGTTTGATTCGTTTGTGGAAATTTTACGAATAATTCCTGATAATACATTGAATATAATTCTATCTACTCTCTCTTCATGGAAACGTGTCAAGTTTTTATTCTATTAATACGATTCGATTCAGGAAATTATACCACCAATTCTGACTGATATAATTAGACAACGAACAACGCTTATGCTCTATAAATATGCAAAATACATGTAACACATTTATGCACAAAAAGTATGCAAAATATGCATGGAAAATATGTAAACATGCACAATACTAAGAATAGACTACATTAAGTTTCAAGTGTAATATTAAATATCAAAAAACGTTTTACAGTTAAGTTGATGTAATGTACTTCGAATTATCGTATATTACAAATATTTCTTTTAAATTTCTCATGTGTTATTTATATAGAAATCAAACAAAAGTATATCCAAATAATTCGATAAAAAGTAGAAAACAAAGTAACCGAATAATAGAAGTGAGCACAATGTAGAGAGATGAGTATGAAGTGAAGCACATGATGTGATGCAGATGAACTGTGAAGCGCACAGTGATGAATATGATCAAGCCATCGAACAAAGTTACAAGGCTGT